TAAAGAGTTTCTGAGGCTGTAAATCTTTATGGAAGCAGAAAGCCTCATTTTCTCCTACAAATTGGCTGGTAGATTTGAACTGCTAACCTTGAGGTTAGCAGCCCAACTTATAAATACTATGCTACCAGAGCTCCTTGCCAATCCTCAAAAATACCAAGATTACTTTCATTATACTGTCTTTCTGCTTACTCTTCCCTCCACCTGGAACCTTCATGCCTTTGCTTAAATGACACTTTTGACCTCAGACCTTCCCTCATTACTTGCTTTAAAACTATAACCACTACAGTATTCTTTCCCTTTCTTCATTTCTTTTCATAATAACTAATGTTAGATAGCATTCATTTTCTTTTTCTTATTGTCTGTCTTCCCCTAGTAAAACATAAACACAATGAAAATAGAAATTTTATATTTGGTTCCCTTTTTTGCCTACAGTGCCTAGAAAAATTCCCATTATATATTGAGTACTCAGTAATTCTAGGAGAATACCAAATGGCTTCTTAGCCTACAAGTAGAGTCCTGGCATGGTGCTGTAGGATAAAGCACTGATCGCAAGGTCGGCAGTTCAAACTCACCTGCCACTCCTCCCAAATCCTATACAGGGTTGCTATGAGTGGAAAGTGATAAGACAACATTTAACAAAAGTAATTCTACAAACAACCTTGTCAGCAATTGAGTCTCCTCAATCCATATATGAGATCAATGATTTACAACTTCTGGTCCCTATCTTTTAAGTTTATTTTTAAAAATTCACCTTGTATACCAGCCAAACCACATTATCAATACAGCCGACTTTACAGTTTTCAGTCATTGCTTTCATTTTTTGACATCCCTCCATGCTGACATTAATGGCACTCTTATTTCAAAGTCTGCTTCAGGACCATCTCTTGAGTATAAGGTAAAAAAGAACAAAATTTCCATCTAATTTAACTTGAAAATAGGGGAAAACTATGAAAATAAAAGAAAGTTAATTGTAACTCTTGCGTTGTTAAGTGACATCAAGTTGGTTCCAACTCATAGTTTTCGAGGGATGACAGGTGGGTTTGAACTGCCAACCTTGTAGTTAGCAGGACCCTATTTCTACCACCCTGTTAAAATCTCTATAAACTTAGATTAACCTTGATTCCTTATATGCGTTTATGTTGACTTTTAAAACTACTTTGGTATCTGACTATACATTTTCTGATTTCTGCTTATAATTTATGTATACTTTTCTTGATGCCTGACCTCTGAAATCCCATTTTTGTTTGGTTAGCCATCTTTGTAAAAGATCCATTGTTGTTGTTGTTGTTATGTGCTGTGGAGTCGGTTCTGACTCATAGTGGCCCTGTACAGGGTTTCCAAGACTGTGAATCTTTACAGGAGCAGAAAGCCTCATCTTTCTCGTGTGGTGTGGAACAGCTGGTAGTTTCAAACTGCTGACCTTGCAGCTTGCAGCCCAATTCGTAACCACTATGCTACCAGAGCTCCTTAAAAAAAAAGATGCATAAGTAAATGTATTCCAGATTTTGTTTCAGTGAATGCATTGCATGCTGTTACTGTATTGCAGATAATCATGATACTTTCCAATGATTATGAATCCTTTTCAAAATAAAAATGGATGTAGATACTAATAATTGATTATAAAGAATACTGTTATTATTGTTAAATGCAATCGAGTTGGTTCCGACTCATAATGACCCTGTACAGGGCTTCCAAGGTGCAGCTGGTGAGTTTGAACCACTGACCTTGTAGTTCAAACTCTGAGGTCCAGTGCTTTATCCCACAGCCCCACACTAGGACTCCGTGTAAGGATTATAAGAATAGTCCTATAAAGCCGCTCCTCAGAAACCTAATGCAGGTTTCTCATGAGAGCAAATTATGCAAATTATCTCAATAGCCTATGTTCCTTATTACCAGCAAATATTTTTGTTTTATCTTTTTTCATAAGTGATTTTAGCACAAAATTATTTTCTTTCATTGTTCTATGCCTTTTTTAAAATGTTTTAAATATATATGTTAAGATCCTTAGCAGATTTCTTGATAAGCTCTGTTTATCTTTTTTAATAAAAATACAATTTGTAACATATTTTTGTTAAAATTAAAACTAAATTCTGTTCTTTTTTTCATGTAGGTCTTTTGTCTTAGTTTAATAGGCAAATCTCGAGAAAATCTAAAACCACTTGCCTCTATTAAATTCCTTCGGGCACTGAGAGTTCTATCTCAATTTGAAAGAATGAAGGTAAGAGAAATATTCCTACAATAAGCTAGATTTTTAATTTAGATAACTAAATTCATACAAATTAACAAACTTAGTCTTGTAATTTTTATCTTAAAAAATTTAATTCAACAAAAAACTCATATTCTACTGTTTAAAAATAAAAAGAAGTGTTTTAATCACACTTATAAAGGAGCTCTGGTAGTGTAGTGGTTACGAATCGGGCTGCTAACCTTAAGGTCGGTAGTTCGAAACTGCCAACCGTTCTGCAGGAGAAAAATGAGGCGTTCTGCTCCTGTAAAGATTTACAGCCTTGGAAACCCTGTACAGGGTCACTATGAGTTGGAATAGACTCCATGGTACTTAATAACAACAACAACATTAATACTTTAAGTCTCTATTGTTCATAATATATGAAAACTAATATGGATAAGCGAGTATAGTGGCGCCATATGATCAGCACTGGACTTGGAACCACAAGGTTGTGGTTCGATTCAAAAGCCTCTTCGCTGAAGAAAGATGAGGGTTTTTGCTCCCACAGAGATTTACAAAGCCTCAGAAGCCCTATTCAGGGTTGTTATGAGTCAGAACTGACTCGATGGCACTCAACAACAACAATGATAGACATAAACAAACAAACAGTTGAGAGAGCAAATACAGTCCAAAAAACCCACCATAAGGATATGTATGGATATCAACAAAATTGTCTTGATTTCAAAAATACAACTGTCAGAAAAAGAAACTTGTATTCGATACCTAGCATTTATAAATTAGATTTTTGAAGTCCCTTTGAGTTGGTTCAGCTTCATAGTGACCCTGTATAGCGTTTCTGAGGAGGAGCTGCTAGGTTTGAACCTCCAACCTTGTGGTTAGCAGTCTAGTAGCTTATCCCACAGCGCCACACCAAAGCTCCTTGTAAATTATAAGGTTATTGTAGACACTAAGCAGTTATTTACTGAGTGAACAGATAGCTGCAAGTTTGAATTTTGAAATGAATTTGCTTAATTTTTTTAAAAATTCATATGTCACAATTATGAATTATTTACCCATCCTCTCCCCTTCATCTCACCTCAGAGCCTCTTAAGAATAATGTCTGGGAAATGAACAATCTTGGGCCTACAATGAAAACTCCATATAGTTCAATCTAACAGAAAAAATAGAGTCTGTAACTATCACATGTAGTATAAATATTTACAGTGATCAATTATGTACAGAAATGACAGAAAATATGTAATTATACTTTATTTTAAAATCATTCCTTTGTGTTTTCTGGTATTTTGCTTAACATTAATATGTATGCCTATTAGATTAACATTACTCAATATCACATTCAATGTGATTGTAGGATCTAATATAAAAATTGATTTATGGTTAGCCTATATTTATATTTTTAAACTGCCATTAAGATACCACGTGAATAAAATCTTTGCGCTTGGTTAAAAATATGTAGCTAGGTAGATACTTGCTTTGTGTCAAAATTTTAGTAATTATTATAAATCCAAACAAAATCCTAAAGAGCTCTGGTAGCGTAGTGGTTACGAATCAGGCTGCAAACCTCAGGTTCAGCAGTTCGAAATTACCAGCTTTTCCGCCGGAGAAAGATGAGGCTTTCTGCTCCCGTAAAGATTTACAGCCTCGGAAACCCTGTATAGGGTCTTACAGGATCGCTATGAGTCGGAATCGACTCCATGGCACATAACAACAACAACAAACAAAATTCTAAATAATTTAAAATCACATCATGGAGATTCACAAGGTGGTGATAATCCCCTGTGGTTTTAAACTGAAACAAGATGTTGTTGTTAAATGTCATCAATTCTATTCCGTCCCAAAGTAACCTTGTTTAGGGTTTCTGAGGAGTGTCTGGTGAGTTTGAATCGTTGACCTTATGATTCAAACTAACCTTTCAGTCTAGTTTTATCTTACAGCACCACACCAGTCAGAAATAAGGTGTAGGATAGCTAGCTGTAAAGGAGAAGGTGGTTGAAGAAAACTGTAATTTTTAGTTAAAATGATAAAAGTTAATTGTTCAACACAGATGCAATTTAGTGATAGGAAAATTTGATATGTGACTCTAGGGCTATAAACTATAGATAAGCTATTGAATCAAACAAAAACAAAAAGTCAACAAATTAGGTAAGTGATTGTAACTAAAATAACTGCTGTTTATTGTGTTTTTTGTTTGTTTTGTTTTTTATTGTCTTTATTGTTATTTACCCTAACAAGTTTAGATATACAGGCGGCAATAGATACAAAGACCTGCAAGTTTTTTGGTCTCAATTTAACAACAAGCAGGAAGAAATTTGCCTCTGTCAGAAATTAAGGATTGTACCATTTGAGGCCATCCATTTATTAGAAAGGCAATGAAATAGCAGCCATGGTTAGATCAAGGTCAGGTCAATAGTTATCATGGTTAGGTCAATGGTAGTACCAGATCTGAAGCATCATCTCAAATTAGGAAAGGTCTGTAGTTAACTAACTTTGAAGTCATAACACAAGGGGTATTTGTTAAAGCTATAGGAACACAAAATTAATGTTTATGCATTTTATAAACTTCATGTCTTGGGTGTTCTTCACTACTAAAATATTTGTGTCTCTTTTAGCAATTATTTTTATTCTTATATATGAGTGTTTTCTAAAAAGTTTAGAATTCTTTTTCAATAGAAGTATCAGTGGACCTCTCAAATATATCTAGAATATCAAAAAAGGATCTGAGATCTAGTTCTAAAAATAATATAAGGTGTTATTAAAAGCAAAATTTGAAGTTAAAATTAGAACCAAGGAATATAAATAAGAAAGTACAGGTAAAAAAGAAGAATCTAGCAAGGAATTGGAGGAAGACATTATTGGAAAGGAACAAAAGAGAAAAGACAGTGAGGTGGTGGAGATAAGAGTCAAAGTATATATGTCTAGAGAATGATAAAGAAATAGTGAAGATTCTAAATAGTCTATTGGATTTAGTAATGGATTTACTTTTGTCATAGCAGTGTTGTTGATGGTGGGTAAGTGCCTTTGAGTTGGTTCTGACTCATAGCAACCCTGTACAGGGTTTCTGTGGAGCAGTTGGTGGGTTTGAACCACCAACCTGTCAGTTAACAGTCCAATGCTTATCCTACTGTGCCACATGAAGACTCCATAGCAGTGTTAGTGGAGTGATACTAAAATTCTGATTTGCATAATATTAAAGATTAAAGGGATTTTATTAAAGAGTAAATGGCCACAGTGATGATATACACACATTATTGCTGTTATTCAAGTTTAGGTGTTGGGTCATTTCCTAGACTTTCCATTCTGGAGTGATTCTTCAGTGACATAAAACAGTTCAGTGAAGAGGATAGAGATTTTGCAAGCACAGTTGCCTAGTCAATATTTCTTCAAACAATCTCCTCCCTTGACTTCATTTACATACAATCTCTTAGCTTTCCTCATTTCTTCACCACTCCTTCATTGCCTCCTTTGCATACTCATGTTTCCTAAGTTTGAATCTGCCTCACTGAATTCTAGACCCATTCTCTTCCATTTCATATATTCTCTAGATAATCACATATATATACACAGGTTTAATGATCGTGCCTATTCCTGCACAGTATAGGATAAATATGTGTCAAATCAGCGAAATAATTATCTCTAGTATTTATGCTAGTCAGCTCTGTTACATTTAATGAACTTTTTAGTACAAAGATCTACAGTATCTGCATTTTAACGTATATTTTTCATCTAAATTGCATTTCTATTTTGATTATTTAAATACCAGAGTGTGGGCTATTCAGTGTTTAGAGAGAGCCATCTCTTGCTTCAGTAAGTCACATTAAAAGTATTTTCAGTCAATCAGATGTGAAAATAGTTTCACATTTCTTATCTAAAACTTACATGCTCATTTTTTATATGCCAGGTGGTTGTAAGAGCTTTAATAAAAACAACTTTACCTACTGCGAATGTGTTTCTGGTCTGCCTTATGATCTGGCTGGCTTTTAGCATCCTGGGCATACACTTATTTGCTGGCAAATTCTATGAATGCATTGACCCAACAAGTGGAGAAAGGTTTCCTATATCTGAAGTCATGAATAAGAGTCAATGTGAAAGCCTTGTGTTTAATGAATCCATGCCTTGGGAGAATGCAGAACTGAATTTTGATAATGCTGGAAATGGTTTCCTTTCACTGCTTCAAGTAGTAAGTAATCTTTTGATTTTTTAAAAATAAATTTATGTTCATCCACGTTCTTAGGTAAGTGTAATGGATAAAATATGGATGCTTGACATATTTGATTATAAAATATTTTAGCAAATACTAATTAGCAAATAAATATTATGTGGATCATTTAGGGAAACAAAAGTGACATATAGACCCTGCCCTGTCAGGAAAATGAAGTGGAGTTGAGTTTAGAAAATGGTAAGTTCTGGTGCAAACTATGGCCTCCACTACTGATCAAGTAATGTTGTTGCTGTTAGTACCATGGAGTCGGTTCTAACTCACAGTGACCCTGCACAGGGTTTCCAAGGGTGTAAATCTTTGTGGGAGCAGAACATCCTCATCTTTCTCCCACAGAGCCGCTAGTAGTTTCGAACTGCTGACCTTGAGGTTGGCAGCCCGACTCGTAATCACTACGCTACCAGATAGTTTACAATTATTTAGTCCATTTCAGGTCATTAGCATTTTTTGTTTGTTTGTTTTTCTATAAAGTGCTTTGAAAAATGGCCACTCCCTCATCCAGCAAAGATGAAGCAGGAGACATTTCCAACTTACCACTCCAATAGAAAATCGCAGGTGTAGAAGTTATAAATAACTGTGACACTTGGGGAGTATGTCCTTATTTATTTAACTATCTTCCCATTAATATTATCCCAAAATAATTTAAATGATTTATAACAAGTAACTTAATTATTTAAAATAGTTGTTTAAAAAAACTGCATAAATATAATAATAGAAATGTCAAAATTATCTCAGTTACACATGCATATTGAAGTGTGACAAGCCTTACTAATGAACTGTATATATAGTGCTATGAGTAATGTAAGTTGTTTTGTGTGTGGGTTTTTGTTTTGTTTTGTTTTGTCATGACATGAATCTTAAGATTCTCATAAGCATTAAAGCATGTCTTTTCTACAGGCAACATTTAATGGATGGATCACTATTATGAATTCAGCAGTGGATTCAGTTGCTGTAAGTACATTATCATCTAAGAGTCATTGTCATGAGTCATATAAAGTCATTTTTGTAGTTCAAGCACTAATTAAGTATTTAACATGGCAAAAAGTAAATAATTGTACTAGATGGAAATGAAATATATGTCAGACTACTTAAGTATTTATGAACAATGAAATATTTTCAAAATTACATGCAATGGTTGTGGGACCATAGGTTCATTTGGAAGATTGCCAGACTTTGTAAGAATTTTTAATGATTTACCCAGTGCTATAAACTTTTAAATCCAGATAAATAAAGCAATGATACTCTTTCATTCAGCAAAACTGGAGAAGTGTTACTTCAAGTAGCTTTGTTGGACTTTGTTGTCATGAATAATTTTACAAATCTATATTTTAAAAAATTGATATCAATATCTTGCTTATTCTTTTAATTAACTTTTAGATAAACGTTCAGCCTAATTTTGAAAACAGCGTCTATATGTATTGCTATTTTATCAACTTTGTTATATTTGGATTATTTCTTCCTCTAAGTATGCTGATTGGCGCTATCGTTGCTAATTTCAACAAACATAAAATAAAGGTAAGTAGTTTCAAAATCATTCATATTTATATTCAAAATCATTCATATTTATATTCAAAATCATTCATATTTATAAAAACATCATAATCACATTGTTGTTTGTTGTTGTTAAGTGCCTTCAAGTCTGTTCCAACTTATATCTACCCTGCATAGGGTTTCTAAGGAGCAATTAGTCAATTTGAACCACAGATCTTACAGTTCAAACTGACTTGTAGACTAGTGCATTTTCCCACAGTGAAAGAAACACGATTATTAATTAGATGTTCCTGCTCACATTTTTAAAATGTTCAACTTGTAATTTTTTTCTGTACTTAAAATATATACAAGTTTGATAGTTTAAAATTATAAGGTTTTCTGTGTATATCTATATTGTAAATAATGATGTGCTAAAACTGAATAAGTAATATTATTATGAATGTGCACAAGTACTTGAAGAACTTAAAAAAAAAAAAACACATTTTATTTATTTATTTATTTTTATTTCTGATATGTTTAAAGCCTCCATGGGCATCTCAGGAAGGTGTATCCGTTCCGTCTTCTAGAAGTAGTTATTGCTGTGAAGTACCATCAAGTTAATTCCACCTCACAGCAATCCTGTATAGGGGTTTCCAAGGAATGACTAGTGGGGTTTGAACTGCTGACCTTGCAGTTAGCAGTCCAATGTTTATCCTACAGTGCCACACCATCACTACCCCTAGAAGGAGAGTGAATCATAAATCTAAATTGGTGACATAAATAGTAAGCTTGAAATTAATAGGACAGAACCTACAGGCAGAATTGCACAACCCATAGTTGATGCTGTCTCCAAAATTTCCTGCAAAGTTTCACAAATGCAAAGACTACAGAAGACATCTGAGTCTACTTAGTTTCAACCATAGAATCTTGCTTACTTTATATTAGGTGTAGTAAAGCCTTAAACAACAAAAAAAGAACAATTTAATTTTTAAATTTCATCTTCACCCATTGTCATCCAACTTTAGCCATTTGCAAAGTCACCCTTAGTCCCCACTAAGCAGGCAGGAGTAGAGAGATTATTGATTATATATGCTTTAGTTTGGATGCTTCAGTTTTCGAAGGACTTCAGCCCAATTCTAGAATATGCTTCTTGGCTTCAAGTTGGTTACCCTTTTCAGATTTAAGTGAAGAGGCCCTAACGTAAGCAATAACAATTCCTAATTACTAGACTAACAAAACATAATATTTGCTTTCTAGTCACTTTACATATTTGCATAAAATACTGAAATAATCATTAACCCTGTGCTGTGGAGTTGATTCTGACTTCTAGTGGTTCTACTGGACAGAATAGAACTGCTTCATAGGGCTTCCACAGCTGGGAACTTTTATAAGAGCAGACAGCCTCAGCTTTCTCCCTCCGAGTGGCTGATGGGTTTGAACAGTTGAAGTGTTAGCAGCCTAACACTTAACCTGCTATGCTGCCAGGGATCCTTAAATTAGGATTCGAAATACAAATATGATTACAATTTAAAAGGTGCTGCAAAGAGGCAGTACAGGTATTTTTCAGACCATCAGTTGCTCATATGGAAGTTCAGACTGAAGCTGAAGACAGTTAAAACAAGAGAGCCAAAATATTATCTTGAACATATCCCACCTGACTGTAGAGATCATCTGAAGAAAGGATTTGATGCATTCAACATTAAACACCAAAGACCAGAAGAGTTGTAGATGACATCAAGAACATCGTACAGGAAGAAAGCAAAAGGTCATTACAAAGACAAGGAAGGAAAAGACCAAAATGGATGTCACAAGAGACTATGAAACTTGCTCTCCAGCATAGAAATGCTGAAGCAAATAGAAGATCTGAGGAGATAAAAGAGCTGAATAGAAAATTTCAAAGGGAATTTCAAGAAGACAATATTATTTTTAAAAAAAAAAAAAAGTGCAAGACCTGTAGTTAGAAAATCAAAAGGGAAGAATATGTTCAGCATTTCTCAAGCTGAAGGAACTGAAGAACAAGTTCAAGCCTCTACTTACAGTCTTGAAGGATTCTATGGACAAAATATTGAAAGATGCAGAAAGCATGAAAAGAAGAGAGAAGGAATACACAATCACCTACCAAAAGAAATGTGAGTGTTCAACCTTTTTAAGAGGTAGCATATGATCAAGAGCCAATGATAATGAAGAAAAAGTCCAAGGTGCATTGAAGGCATTGGCAAATAACAAGCCTCTGGTAATTGATGGAATACAAATTGATATCTTTCAACAAACTGATGCAGCATTGGAGGCTGTCACTCATCTATGCCAAGAAATTTGGAAGACA